ATGTACAACCATGCACATGCCACAAGACTTAAGATCCACCCGACACCCGCGCAACCACCTGCAGAAATCGGCGCATCATGCGCCTGCTTCATCCCAGGTGAAGTAAGGATATTCCCAGGCAACCGTCGCCACCGCCCGGACGACGTCCTCATAGGACATTTGCCGTGCCAGGGTGGCCGTGTGCTGGAAGCTGTACCAGCTTGCGTCTCCAAAGCTCTCCTAGGCGGGGACGGTCCCAAGCCCCCCCGCAAGGATTCTAACCTACCAAGCTCCGGGGGCCGTAAAAAAGAAGGCTTGGGACTTCTGAATCAGCGCCCAAAGTCACCAATGAGAGGTGTTGGGTTGACTGAGCTCTTGGCTGCTCAATGGCTTTCAAACTCCCAGCCTACCCTGTCCGAATTCCAACGCTTAACCCACCAGAAAGGGATTCCCCCCAACTGCCCCTTAAAGCTGCTGACAAGATCTCCTCTTCTCCCTACCCGCCACTGGCGTTTGGTGCGGGTGCTTCTGCACCGCGCTTGCTCCAACAGGCCATTTGGAAACAAGATGTCAATTGGTGTTGACAAAAAAGCTGTGTTAACGAAAGTCTGTGTGATCCTCGGAACTTCGGTGGTTTTGACTTTTGTTCGGCCACCCCGTGAAAGGTTTTTACGATTTCTCCTTGGTGAGCTAGGGCGAGCTTGCTGCAAGGCAATCTTTTCGATGTTCGGCAAGGATCATGCCAATCAAGTCCAAGAAACACCAGAAACGAACAAAAGACATGAAGACATGAATCAGGCTTCCATACATCGACATGAGGTATCCTCTTCCATCTGCCTTGGAGGGACCTCTTGGAGTCAACTCGTCTCCGTGCCACGGCTTCTCCAAGGGTCTTCGTGCAGCTGCTGGGCTCTCTTCACCTCCACCTGCCACGCGGCACGGTGCCAAAACGAGAGTGGCCGAACGAGGAAGCGGGGCCCTGCTGGGCATCGTCTCTCCAGTGCCGAAAGATGCTTGGCCTGTCCAGAATCATGTGAGCCTCATGTGCTTGGCCTATGAAGAATCACCGATTCTTCTGAATGTGCCGGTGCGGCATGAAGCTTCTTCCGGAAAAAAAGTGGATGTAGGCTCTGAATGTGTGGATGTTTTTTCGAATTGTGTGGATGATGGGTTGGCTCTGAATAGATTTGGATGCGGGTCCATGTGACCAGGTTTTTGATGGCCTTGGCTTGGCCTGGATTCGTGGTCCTGCAGGCCGGGCCGCCGAACTCCGTGGCGGCCCGAGGTGGCTCAAAGAGCTGGCGGGGAAACGCCAAGATCCAGCCAGACCAAATCGCAGAATGTCTGTGGGGGGAGGGCTTCCAAAATGGACAGCGCGGCAGTTGTGCTTTTTGCATCCCAATGCCCAGCGATTCTTGTTTTTCACCTCATTTCAGGTACAGTGGAGACGTGCCGTGGAAGGTCGAGGAAACAGGAACCAAGACAGTTGGCTCCTTGGGTTCCCGTGTAGCTTTGATCGCAAGACATGGCAGTTCTGTGCCAATTCGGAGTGAATCTGTGCTAAGAGAGCGGTGTTGCAGCGATGGCGAGCCCTGCATAGACTTGGATGCTGCTGAGCCTTGAGGATGAGATCTAGACCGGGAAGATGAAGATGGGACCTGAAAATGGACCTTTGAAAGGCTAGTTCTCCTTTACAAACCAATGGTTTTGATGTTACATGTTATAATCTTCCAGAGTGTACCTTCGGATGTCCCGGTAAAGCTGCATGCGTCCCCGGTTTTCCAGCTGACAGTGCCGATGGGCCACGAGGAGGATGCCTTTGAGCCATTGGACCTCCTGGGCGCTCGGAATGACCCAGTAGCTCATCGTGCTTGGCGACTCGACCGGATCCAACGTTGGAAGCGTATTCAGTCGTCGTCGCCGCTGTGGTGCGACTGTGGACTGGCAGACAGCGTCAAGCAGCGTTCTTTGAAGAACCTGCGGGAGGCAAAGAACTGCCCACAGCCTTCGTCTGTGATGAGACCCCACATGAGCCCACTTGCCCAACCGGCTCCTCTCCCGCGCCGCGGCGCAGAACCCGCGCCTGCGCGTAGTCGAAGTTCTCCCCGGCGCCGCGCCAGCGGCGCCCCAGCGAGTTGAACGCCACCTCCACGGCCGACCGGTCGGGGCTCAAGAAGATCACCTACCCGCGATCCCGCCAGAGCATCGGAGCATGGGCGAGGCCCGGCGACGGCGGGCTGAAAAGAGGCCTCATTTGGCGACCTTTGGGGGGGAGGTGGCAGAGCTTGGGAGAGAGCAAATTTGGAAGGCCAAGATTGGTGGACTTTGGATCTGGCACTTTTTTTCGGACATCGAGGAGAAAAAAGAGAAACCATGCAAAGATCTCGAAAGGTGTCAAACCATGTCAGACCAATAACAATTAAATCTCACGGCCAAAGCATGTTGTCTAGAAGAAGTGCTTGGGCACATAAAGACACAGAGTATATAATATATATATATATATATATATTATGAATGTAAAGTATTCCTACCAGCAGTGTTCCTTCGGCCTGAGCCCCCCAAAAAAAAGAGAAAAAGGTGCACCACCCCCCAAACCAAATTCCCCGATCACGTCCTAGTTCCGTCCGCCAAGCGGGGGCGCCTTGGAGTGCCAGTAGTGGACACCGCCCTGCCAGTAGTCAATGCCACCCGTATCCACCAGTCGAGCCTGAAGGTACCTCTCTCGATTGCGGGTGGGGGCTGCTGTGCTGCAAACCGTTGAATGGAAGGGAATTCCAGGTCGTCCGAGGGCGTGCAGCTTGTGGCACCAGTGACACCCAGATGTATTCTACTCAAGCATGGTCCGAAAACGGGCTCGGTGGGGGGACGAGGACCAGATCTTCTGTGAAAATCTCCGCAGCCCAGGGAGGAGCCTCTTAGGAACCCAAAAAAAAAACTCCCAATCCTTCTCCACTCTTGTCTCCTCACTCACAAACCCCCTCGCGAAGCCCATTGTCTACCCGCATCCCACCTCGTAGCCGCCCAGTCCTCCAGATCGGCCAGGTACAGCTTCGCCGGGCATGTGGGAAAGTCGAAGCACAGCCACTCCTCCCCAACCGACGCCCAACGGAGCTTCGGATAGCCCCCACCACCCGTGGGGCCTCCACACCGAAGGTGCCATCACAACCCCCCACCATCGTAAGGCCCCAGCAAAAACTGGGAGACCGGTTGCTGGCACTCTGCCTGGCGCTCCATGTGTTCTCTTGCTAGTTCACAGTGTCGCTCACCCACCAAAAAGAGGTCAATAATCAAGACCCAACTTGTTTCAAGATCTCTATCCAGGACTCCAGTCCAAAGACTCTTTGATTCCCAAAGCCGCTTCTCTCCCCACATCCTGCTCTCCTGCTCGTTGTACACCACAGGAGCGCCTTCAAACCGATAGCCCCAGCGAATCTCCATCCACTCCACAAGCTCTTGATGCTTCATGCACCGATCGAGCGCGGGGCGCGCGGGGCTCGATCAATCGTGAGAACGCGGGCGGTGGGCGCACGGAGAGGTGGCACGGGGAGAGAGGAGACAAGTTGCTGCAGGATAGCCAGGGCAAACTCCGAATTGCTCAAAAACATGTTGAAATGCTCAACCAGGAATAGCAAGACAAAACATAAGTCCACTGGAAGAAGTGGATGCCTTTCTGCCATTGTCTTTTTGGGGCGGAAGTCGTTGTGTCTGTGGGGCGCGTCTGCGAATCCCAAGCCACCGGATGACCCCCTTGAGCCATCACAGGAAGCTGGGTGGACTGATGGACCAGGCGTCAAGAGCTCCCCCCCCTCCTCTACACGAGGCAGCGAAACTGTAGATTGGAGTCGTCTTCTTTGGATTCTTGAGCTGGCTTGAAGCAAAGTTGGAAGAGCTCAGGGAGACAGCCAGCTCAGGGAGGTGTTCAATTTCTTTTCTCCACGTTCAGTTCAGGGAGATCAAAACCAGGGCAACCAGCATCCTTAGCTAAAATATGACATCAACAAGTGCATACTGGTGCAATGGGAAAAGTGTGTTTGCCTGTGCGATCCGGATGTCATCGGACTTCGACATCGGAATCTCTTTGGTAGAACTTCATCGGCCTGCTTTAGAACGGCAGCAGGGAATACATGGGAATGCTTCACCTGGATGAATGAAAGATCTCCAAGCCTCCGGAAGACCCAAAAAAAGGCTTTAAAGACCGACTCCTCAGCCAGCCAACCCGATCCCTTTCTTCCCCCGAGGGTCGACCTCGACGCACGGTCAGCGTGGAGATGTGGGCAGACTGTACAAACTGTGCTGAGATCTTAGCGATCAGCACCTGGCGATCCTAGCGAAAGAAGATCCAAACCCTGGGTGTGGATAAAAGAAACCACTCCCAAACTGGTTCATACTGGATCTAATCATTCCTCTCGGCCCATTCAAAAAGAAACAAGCATCCAAGTAAGCAGTCTTCCTGTAGTGTATCCACTAATCCTAAGTGCATCCACCTGAGTATGTCTGAACTGATCCGGCCGCTTCCCATCTTCATGAACCAGCGGGTCGGAGCCCTCCACATGGCTATGGCTCAAAAAGACTGGGCAACATGGATATGGATTGTCAATCCTTCTGGTCCTCCACTGGGCTACGACCCCTACTTATTATCGGCTATGTATACAGTCGGGACAAAAGGCGAGTGGACTCAAAGCTATTCAAAACCTATGCCATCCTATGCCCATCCCTTCCGCCACAACCAGATCCAAACCCACCAGAACTTGGCCACGGGAACTCGCCGCCCAGGCGTTGCAAATCCATCCGCGTGGGCGGCGCAAAAAGGCCGTCGGGCCAGAGAGTTCACTGTTGAAAAGTCCCTTGGGAGCGCGCACTGGGCCCTGTGATGGGTCAAAGAGGATCTTTCGAAATGATGAAGTTCGCAAATGGCTGTGGGTCAAAACCCGGATACCTGCTTGACCTACCTGAGAGGGGTCAAGCTACAGGTTTTGACCCATCCCCTCATCAAGTTCCGCTGGAAATCTTGTGGACTGATTGGCTAACCAAAGTTCTTTGACCCAGCCTCCTAGTGCATTTTCCCCCATTGGGTGAATGTTGTCTGCCTCCCACCTCTTTTTGAGGAGCGATTGGGGCGTTGATCAGCTAAAGAATCTCTTGCCACAAGGGGCAAAGCTCACTTGGTCAAAGACTCAGCAATGCCCTCTAGCACTGCTGTCCTTAGCATGTGGCACAAGCGTGGCTAGTGGCTAAGGAGTGTTGTGGCATGGTGTGGCACGAAGTTCAGCAGTAGATTTCGCATGGTTCAGGTTCAATGATTGAATCCGTCCATTTCATTAGGAGCTCCAAAGGCATCGTGGTGGAAAGTCTTGGGCGCCCGGCCGTTCCAACCTCCCACTACCCTATGACTTTTCTCAAGGTACTTCACACCATCAGCCTCTGCAACCTATGACGAGCCACCATCAGCTTACAGCCCCCGCTGACCCCAGCTCGCGGACGTTTGGGGCCGGTGTTCCACGACCGTCGCTCTTGGTTTCACCACCGAGCGACAAGCGGGAAGTGTTGAATGCGATTGGACGAGTCAGAGTCGGTCTTCTCTCCTTTCGCCCCCCCTTTTCGCACCAATCCCGTACTCAAACAGACTCACAACCATCTGGCGGCCAGGGCTCTTCCTCTTGGAACTTTCACGTGTGAAGTCTTCCAAGTGGCACACCAACTTCGGAGCGCCCCGGTTCGCGCCGCCCGAGACGGAGATTTCCACGCGCTCAGCCACCATGTAGTCCTGCACGCCAAAGAAAGCCCATATGAAGAAAGCCAATCGTCTGGAGTGGGGGGAGTGGGACTGTCTACCACTAGTACCTCTCATCCATTCCAACCGTTTTCCGGAGTGCTCTTGTCATCGATGTTTTTTCAATGTTTTTCATGCCCGGCTTTTCGCCCACCTGACTGGCCCGGGCATCCAGGGTCACATGGAAGTGGACAGCCGCCCATGCTCTGAGAGAAACTAACGGCTCTTCCAAAGGCCTACCTACTGTATTTATTCCACGTCCCATCTGACTGACTCGTTCATGAACCTCAGAGTGGAAACCACTTCTTTGGGCTGGGCACATGGAAGTGGAAGCTCCAAGAGCGGCTCCCGCTCCCGCACCGGCCTTAGAGCCTTCGCTCATCCGGAAGCGCAGCGGTCGAAGATGAAGCGGCTCCTTTGCCTGGAGGGGAAGACATACCAAAGGGAAGGTGATGGATTGTTCGGTGTGCTTTCTGCTGCGAATCCTCAAGTGACTCAAGTGGATGACGGATCCTTCAGGTCTCTCCAAGCAATCTCTCCTTATTCCAGTACCTTTTGCAAGGGGGCCCTTCCCTCCATTCACCTCCCTGACTTCTTCCCCATCCCACGCCACCTCCTCATGGCCCAGCAGGTAATGCTCGATCTCCCCGCGCACCGTCTCCCACTCGGTGGGTCGTACCAGCTCCCGCAACGCGGCCAAGGACTTGCCAGCACGGAGGAAGCTCAGATGCGCCTCCGCCATGCTCTCCAGTCGACTGACCCATTGGACCCCCCCACCCCACAAGATAATGGGGAGGGGGCGGGTGCAGTACTGGTGGGGAGAATGGTGAAGAAAGACTCGGAGCCCCATGGAATGGACGTGGGGGATTCACCCACTGCCAAACGGAAGACCATGGTCTTGGCCGACTGGGAAGTTTAATTCTACAAAAGGCTCCATGCCCCAAACCCAGGAAAGTGAAAGAATCCCAACCACAGATCGGCTCCTTTCCTTTCTTTTTGCGTGCCACAGCGGCCAAAAAAGTCTCCCCATTCTTGTGGTTTTGATCTGTCTCACCTTCTCACTCCTGGGAGAAGGACCACTCACCTGACGGTTCTCCAGGGCTCACGCGAACCTCGCCTGCTCCACTTCCAGTTGGGGCGTCGCCGTGTCCACCATCAACATCACCCTCAGCGAAGAGGAGAGACCCAGACCCTCTGCAGCCGGTCCGTCCGGCCAGTTGCGTGGTGAAGGTGTACAGAAGACGCACCAGTACCCTGACCCAGCTTTTCATCCAGGAAAAGTCAGGAATTTCATTGCAGCAAGAAATCTCTGTTGGGCTGGCTTGCTGCTGGGTGGTTTTTTGGCAGCTCTTCGGCCTCTTTCAGCTCAGGGCGCTGCTTGAACCAACGCGAACCAACGCCAAGAACCAACAAAAGGAACTAATACATGGTATACGGGTTCGTTCGCGACCGTGAGACGGTTCACCACCTGTTATCGGAAAGTCGTCGGCCGCTGGGGCTGTGGGCTGCGTGTCCGTGCCATCCCGTGGCAGGACTGGCTGGGGTTTCCCGAATCGAAGGCGTAGCACATGATGCACTCCAAACAAACCGACCGAGCAAAAAGGACGCCAGCGCACGCAATCCTTCCAGGGGCCCACAGAATCTCTCCAGGATTCCCAGGCGATCACCCCCCAAAGTTCAGTCACACCCCGGATCGCGCCGGAGAAGGGGGAAATGATCGTAGACGTTCACCCCAGATCTCCTATGATCTCAGGTGTTCCTTGCATCCAAGCCCCCCCTGAAAAAGATCCTCGAAGGGTCTAGTATGTTGCAACTAGTTGGACCACAGTGCGCTGACAGCCGTGGTGTTTCCTGCGTTGTTTGGGTTTTCGTGCGCTATTTATATACCGTAACTTTGCCGTTTCCTTCGGGGTTGCTGGGGAGAGCAATAGTGCTTTTCAATTGCTCTTGATGCATGTTTTGAATTTTCAATGCACACATACACTCATTACTCATGGTTGCACACTTTCTCTGGGCGTGGAGTGGGTAGGCAGGAGGCAACTTGTATTACAAATTCTTTCCAGTGTGAAGATGACTTCTTGCACACTTGTACACTCGATTCCGGAAACTGGAACACAGCTTGCAGATGAAACGACGCTTCGTGAAAGCTTGATTCCGGATAAAAAGAAACGAACACTACAATGCCGTGCAAATGAAACGACAGCAACAGTTGGTGTACTGTAAACTCAATACTGGACACTCGAACAACGTCTGCAGTGTCATGGCTCACAGTTTTCTTGTTGATGTCTTGTTATTTGCCTCTCCTTTTTTGTTCACTTCCTTGTCATTTCTGGTTTTGGTAGGGTCCACATCCATCTAGTTCTTCAGAAAAATGTACTTCTCATTGTGGCGAAACTCTCATGTTACATCATTTTACACTCTTTCCAGTCAGGTTGAGTCCTCAATGACACAAATTCCAGAAAACATCAGAAGCCCAGTCAGTCTAAAGGTTTACAACACCTCCAATATCTCAAAATCATGACCGTTGACACCGTGGTACCGTGGACCTAGTACTTCCGTGCACTTCCCATACAGCTCCAAGCCAACCTGGCACGCTCTACCCACCCAACCCGGCACCCTCACACCGAACACGCCCAAGCTGCTGTGACAGCTCCGGCATCGCCCAATGCACCGACGTCGCGCTCGAGCGCGACGACGCGCTCGAGCGCCGCCCGCGCGGCGCCGCGGTCGGCGAGGCCAGGCCGCGCGGCAGCGGCAGCGACGCGTCGGCCTCGTCAGAGGCGGGCGGCCCCCGAAGGGTTGAAGGGGTGGTCCGGGCACCTGACTAGATATGACAATGTATAACATATATGAAGCTTCACCTGTCAAAAGAATCACAGATCGTTTTGGAGATGAACCGACCTCGGGAACTTCGCGGGACTCGACATCCTCGCGGATCGCCAGCAAATGATAGGGCCGCTGCGCACCATTCAGCCAAGGGACAGGGACCTGGGCCGAAGCGGTTTTGGGGGACCCCCAGCTACTAAGAATAACAATAATAGTACTAATAATTAATAGCAGTAGTACATTAGTAATAATATCAATATTGGTAATGATATATGTCTTTGGCGCATGCGCAGAACTCGGGAGAAATAAATCGATGAAACTCAGTTGGACTCCTTCTCGCCCACGTCACGTGGAAAATGTCGGCGCCCACGCGCGTGTCCATGGAGCTCCTCATTGAGGCGCGCAGGCAGCGCGGCGCGGAGCTGGGCTCGTCGGGGCCCTCGCCGTCGAGGTCACGATGGAGGAAGTCTTGGAAGCGCTGGTGCTCCTGGGGGGGTGCGGATGGTCTGGAAATGGTGACTTGTAAGGCTATGGAAGGCTCGGAAGATTCACGCACAATCATTCACTCGTCCAAGTAGCCTCCCACCCCTGGCCAAATCATGCAGTAAAAATGGTCAATGATGCCCACTGGCCCACAGACCATTTTTCAGTTCGGCAGCGATATCTGAATGATCGCCTTGTGAGATTGATCGCAGCTTTGTCAGGAGGTGGAAGGCATGTCCAAGATCTTGTGCCCTGGTTCCAGGGGCATATGGAAACAATAGACCACCCAACGAACTTGGCTTCATCGCGTCAGGCAGTTGCAGTAGAGAAAGTAGCCGACACGTGCAAATCGCAGTGAACACAAAGCTGGCACGTACAGTACCCGTCGGACCTGCTTGCATACAGGGCATAAGTCAACCATTCGAACGATATTTGGCCTCAAACACTCTCCCAGAGATCAGTCGCTCAGCACGGAGATCCTCCACCTTCCATCTACGCTTTCACGGAAGAAGCCTTCAAACGTTTGTAAGCCCCGTGGCAGGACCATTCCTTCCAGCTTCTGGTCCAACCGAGCACCGATGCCCAGATGCTGGAGCTGGCCGGGAAAACTCACTCCCTGCAGATTCAGGCTGAAATTGAAGCCAAACGTTAAGCCCTGGAGGTTCCTCGGCCAAATCTCTCCCCGCAAACTCTGATTGAAAAGGTCGCCAAGCTTCAAGCTCTGGAGGCCGCTGGGCCAAGTCACTCCCTCCAAACTTTGGTTGAAATCGCGGCTAAATGCTAAGCTCTGGAGGCTGCAAGGCCAAGTGACTCTCTGCAAACTCTGGTTGAAGTGATCGCCAAACGTTAAACTCTGGAGGTTGTTTGGCCAAGTTACTCCCTCCAAACTCTGGTTGAAATCATTCCCGAAGGTCAAAAAAACAATGCATGCGCCAACCTAAGCCCGTAGGTAGTTAGACGCACCCTGGTTTGTACCGGGCTTTGCACGGATCAAAGGCAAGGAAAGAAAACCTTGTCACAAGATGCAAGCGCCCGAGGGCAAATGAAAACAATCCAGGCGGAGCCCGGAAAAAAACCTAAGGAGTAGAAGAAATGGGATGCAAAGCATCGTTGATTTCGAAAGCAAGCTCACAAGCAACAATCTGGCATTTGGCTCTTTGCACAGCCGAATCGGCTGCAGATAGCACAACCCAACCACCAACCAGAAGGGATTTGAAGTAAACCCTCAAGAAAATCTCTCTTTGCTCTGAACTTGGGGCACAATGCCCAAAAATGCCGCATGGAGGCGAGCTGCGCATTGCAGAAAGGGCAAGAAGGATCATGGCTATACCCTCCTCTTGTAGGGGTCTGGATCGCACCACCCCGATAAGTATTAAGAACAATAAGGTTTTTGCGAGAAAGCTTTGCTCGCCACGTTGGCCATAGAGGGTGGGACGAAGCCTCAACATCTATGTTACTGAAATCTTCAGAGTCCAATCGAGAAGGCCGGATCTGCAAAAGGCTTTTGTGTCTAGCAGCAACCCGAAGGACATGAGATGGAACACCTTCTGGCATGAGTTTGATGGATTCACCATATGCACTAACGAAACGGCTCAAATTTTGATTTTGAAGGTTATCTGAAAAGTACAGGCCCCTATTATCCCAAGACACAAGATGCAAATCCAAGAGTTCAAGGTAAAACTTAACTGCACGGAAAACAGCATTTGGAGGTGGGTTATGAAAGCGGTGCGCAGACAACACAGCTGCACAGGCCAAGCCAAAGATTGGATGAATGTCAATTCTATCAGCCCAAAACCTGCCACTACACCACCAAGAGCACTTCCCGAAGGTCAAGCTCTGGAGGCTGCTCGGCCACGCCATTCCCTCCAGCCTCTGGTTGAAATGAAACCCAAATATTAAGCTCCGGAGGCCTCTTGGCCAAGTCACCCTCTGCAAACTCTGGTTGAAATATGTTGAAATCATTGCTAAACCTCAAGCTCTGCAGGCTGTGGGGCCAAGTAACCCCGTCCAAACTCTGGTTGAACAAAAGGCCAAAAGTCAAGCTCTGGAGGCTGCTAGGCCAAGTCACTCCCTTCAAGCTCTGGTCGAAATCATTGCAAAAGCTCAACCTCCGGAGGCTTACAAGGTTTCACAGCTGATTCACATCCCGCAGCATCGCCACGCCTCCTGCAAGTTGGCCGCTTCGTAGGCGTAGGACAAAGAAACCACTTTCTCTAGTGGCAGCCCTTCTACCAAAGTCTTCTTCAACGAAAGCTGCTCAGATCCTTTCATCACCACCACTCTTGCTCCAGCTTTGGAGGGAAGTTCATCACAAATGACCCTTCGAAGCTTAGAGCCAGAGACTTCGGCACCTGAACCTGGAATCCGCTTCCATCGAGCCCTGTCACCTGAATCTGGAGCTCTTCATCGGCCGCGGCGTTTCATGGCGGCAGATCAAGACTGAAAATGTTCTGTGGTTGTCATTCTTCTTGGCCGATGAGGTGGCAAACATTCAAGAGCTGGCAAAGAGGTTCGAGGCCTAAAGAAGTGAAATTCGGGCTGACTTCACCAAACAAACACTGCTGACAGAGACGAGGTAAGCCTGAAGTTCTCTCAACGAGGTTCGCCAAAGTCCCTCTTTGGGCCCGGTCAGGCGCGAAGGTCAAGCACACTGCTGCATGTCCCTCCCTGCGCTGCCCGAGAAATGTGCAAACAACATCTATCAACTAGACAACACCCCTTTGTTCAAGGTGGCAGCGCCTGTATTGGGCGATGCGTTCCAGTGGTTTTGTTCTAACACCGCTCATGTTCATGTTCCGACGTTCTCGACGTTTTTGCATTGAATTTGTTGCTTTTGACGAGGTCCAAGTGCTGTAAGGGTTGCTCGGAAGTTCCGTTTTGAGGTGTTTCGCTACAGCTTCGACGACATTTCGATCGTGTCGAGTGTGTCTCTCGAAACGGACGTCAATCCCAGCCCGCCCCCCCCACCCATCCCCACGCACATACATCTACATCCCACGAGCAGCATAACCACGTCACGAAAACCAAACAAACTTGTCAAACGGCAGCCCCTTACAGGCGCTGCCACCTGATTGGCGGTACATTAACGATTCACCCCAAAGCACCATTAACGCTTCCTCTCCTCTGGCATGAGCAGTTGGAGGAAGTTCTTCCCGTCCATCTCTGTGCTGCTCATCAGGAGGTGCTTCAAGCATTCCTCTTTTCTCCCGCACGACCGTCGGAACATCTGTTTTTTTTGGCTTTTGGCGGAACGTACATCGGTGGGCACCCACGGTGCAAACAAAGACGTGCACCTGCCAAATCCACACGCCCCACCGCGGTGCTGCTACTATTCAAACGCAGCCGGGAGAAGCCGGGAGAAGAACACAAATAAACATAAAACACGTAAAACATCGTAAAACATCGTAAAACATGTCACAATGTACAGTATAAAGTATTATTTATGTGGTATAGTATATAAGCCCTTGCAAAAGAGGTGTGTTGCACTTTGCTGCGGTGACAAGCCACAGGTACTGCGGATGGTTCAGGGTCCAGAGGGCCTAGGAGCTCCAGCTGCTTTTGGTCCCCTAAGTCGAAAACACTCAGAATCCGAACATGACCAGCCAAACGCTGCTTGACCCCCTGAAATTGAGAACGGACCACCCCAAAAAGTGCTCCCTCTCAGCCGACGACATTGAAGTTCCAGCACATCCTTGGGCCCACCCCCCCTTCCTCCTTCTACACTCCCCTTCCATCCCTCCAGTTGCCCCTCCCTGTCTCCATCTCCACCAATATCCAGGTCTCCGCGGTGCCCTGCACCCGGTGCTCATCGTCCAGCAGCACCGCCCCGTCGCAGACGCCGCGCAGGATCCGCTGCACCGAGCCCAGCAGCGCCTCGTGCTGCGCCGCGTCGAGGGCCGCGCGGAGCCGCGCGCAGACGAGGAACTCCAGGATGGCCGAGAGCCCCACTGTGGCCTGGCTCAGGCGGACGGGTGCGGACGGGCGCAGAGTGGAGGCGGAGTGGAGCGTAACGGAGTCGGAGGCGTTGGCCAGAGCGGATGTTTGTTCAAGGGGATAGGCACTGGAGTGCGGAAGAAGGGAGAGGACGGAGGAAGACGGTCAGGGTGGATATGTGGTGTGGATCTAAGAGATGACGACAGATAATGACATATACAAGCTGATGCAAGGCATATTTGCCCCCAGTGCTCCGAAAAAATTGTTCTTTTGTTGTCCAACATGCCGGTGGACACCGACCAAAGCTGGAGCTCCTCGAACAGGTTCATGCCGAGGGACGGACCGCCTGGGTTGGCTGGTGGAGGCGGAGGGATGCGGAGGGGGGCAGTTTGGGACCCTGTGTTGTCATGCGTCTGTCTGTCATGAAAACCCAGTCGTTTGGGACCCTCACTTCTGGAGACCACCTTGTAGAATTCATCTCAAGTCAGACGTCAAGGCTGCGGCCATCTGTCGCCATCTGTCGCCACACTCTGCGGCCCCACCCGTTTGGGTCCATTTGGCGTGTACCACCTCTTCATATTATGTGAAGAGGTTGAAATATCATCAACTAGTCCCCAAAAAAAAAGCGAGATGAACCTCCCAGCACCACCATGCTCCCCCCCACAAGCTTGCCGGGTGGCCGGAGTACCAGTTCAACCCGACATTTCCCAAGAAGAAGAGCAGTTGGCCGCCCGCGGTGAGCTGCGTGTCCATGAAGACCATGCCTGAGGTCCCCACGGTCGCTCGGTCCACGTGGGCGTCAGGCTGTCATGGTGAAACGCCCCCAGGATGGGTCGCACCCCTCCACTGCCCGATCGAGGGGTCTATGTCCAACTTTGAGGAACCAGTTGCCCGGCATCAACACTCTCTCTGAAGGGAATTGATGCCAGCGAACTGAGGATCCTTGAGTCAAGTCTCCGTATATGGTTTCCTTTGCACGTGCTGCAGCCGTCCAAACTGGCTAGGCTACTGGCATGCGCAAAATTTTAGGCGAGGTCGTCCACCACGAAAATGAAAAGTATGAAAAGTTCTTTAGTCTTTGGCCCCCTCCAACGCCAACCCCATGCCCCACATCTCTCTTCCAGTTGCTTAGCACGAAGCGATTGGCCAGCACGAACTTCTCTGTAATCACGCTGTCCGGCACCTGTCGAGTCGAAGGCATCGCTGCCGGGCCCTAGTCTCGGTCATCGCCATGCCCAAGGCGAACCAACCAACCAGCCAGCCAACCAGCCAGCCAGCCAAGTAGCGAAGTAACGAAGTAATTAACGATGTAACCAACCTGCGCGCCCACTCAGCTACCCACTGACTCACCCACACAAAATCCCACAAACACCGAGATCCTCCACCTGAAGTGCGCGGTCCAGCACCAGGATCGCCGCGAACTCGAAGTAGTTCATCAGCGCATAGCGCCGCACCTCGCCCGAGGTCGGAACGGGTGGAGGGGAGGGCGGATGGATTAGGCTCATGTTGGAAGCCAATCCACCCGTGAAACCCGCACATGTTCGGATTTAAACCAAGGGCTCCAGTTTTGGATCCACAACCCACCAGCCATGTCTCGACCTGGTGGCCGGTGTGAGGCACTCTGACAAGATCTGATCGTTCAAGCAGAAGTGAATCATGGGACCGGCAGAAGCTTCAGGCGAACCGTGCTTTGCAAAAAAGGACTGACTGACTATTCATGCAAGATCATACTCTTCAAGTCCCTTCAAAGGCGGTTGAGAGACAGAATAACCAAAACCTCTCCAGCAATCTGAGATAACGATGCACCCTCAAGTGACACCATCCGTGGACTCTCCCTTACGGACCTCATGTGTTTCCTTCACGCACGTGAATTCCACGGCGGGGGAAGTACGCCTCGCCTGGCTGCGACCTGGTTGTAGGAGCCCGCTGCCCACCAGGAGATGCTGGAGATAGACCATCGACGGCAGCAGCAAGCTAAGCCTCAAGTGTTCCAAGGGTGTATAAGACTGTCGAAGGAACGACATCTGGAAAAACACCGCAGATCCTCACAAAGAAGCAATCACCAAAGGTTTATTTTATCCTCAATATCCCCGTTCCAGCCTTTGACCTAAGCCTCAAGCTGAAGAGAAGCCAGGCCGCCAACCGAAACCGCCGCCAACTTCGCACGGCTCCTCCGTTCCCCAAACCCTTTCGCCCCAACCCCCGTGCCAACCCCAGCAGACCCCCCTAGTCTCCGGTCGTCCGGTTGTGCGGACGGTCTGAGCGGCCAGTTCTCGCGGATGGGCGTTTGCACCGAGATCTTCAGAAGGAGCAGCAGCGTCCCGGCCATCAGGTGTACGAAAAGCCTCGCGGAACCAAGGCACCGAGGCGGTGCCTTGGGAGGTCCCCTTTTGAGTCGAAGAGGTCAGGGCTTTGGGGGCGAAGAAGAGCTGGGAGGTCGGAGTGTCGCTGGCCGGTTCGGCCTAGTCCTAGTTGGCTACGGCTCGGGGGTGTGTTATGGGGGCGGAGAGAGGTTTGAGAAGAAAGAAGGGGGAGGAAAGTGAAGAAGTCAAGAGGGAGATGCTTCATGTTCTTGGGTGGGTCTTTACGGAAGCCACTTGGAGGGCCATTGGCGGCCATTGTAGATGATAACATTCCTGGGAGCGGCGAAAGGCTGACATAAACTTGCCGGGACCGCACCTGGCACTCAAGATGTAATTCTTCTGCCGGACCTCCAGCAAGCCCTCCTGGAGGTCAGAACATGGCCACTCCAAGAGGTTAAACGCAACTGCTAGCTGCCACCTTGAATGGATCGTGGAACCAAGATGAACCAAGCACAGTTAGCATTCAAAACTGAAGATGTCATACACTTCTTGAGGAGCATGCTTTTGACGTTTCATGTCTGTGACCTTCATGGCATATACAAATACACCCAAGTTCGACGTGGGTTTTCCGGAGTTGTCTTGGCTAGACTTTCGGCCCGAAGGCCTCCAACATCGCCACAGCCAGATCATCATCCCCTAGGCCCCGCCCCCCCTACTACGCGCCTCGATTCTCTTCTTCCTGAAGCGCTTCAAGCGATCGAGATGGCAGGGTCAAAACGTCGTCAGGCACACAGGGACCCGCCACGAACTACCGGGACCCGAGTAACGCCACGAACTCCACAAACGCCCCGCAAGTGCAGTTCCACCCACTCACTGGCCGAGACACCCCCGAGAAACCCTCACACACTTGTGGAACTATATACCAAAAAGATCTTGGACAACAGGTTGACGGGTGTGGATGCAAAGATCCTTTTGTTTGTCACATGCTCCCAGGACATTTATCCTCTTGATGTTCTGATGTGTAAGCATCTTGAATGGTATTCAACATGCTGCCGATGAATATGTCATCGAACATCCTGCGCTCTGTCGCTATCATGCTGGCGTTACCCTTCTTCCCTCCAAGCATCATGGCCACCTCCTCCACGGAGTCCTGGATACCGGAGCTTGGAACATTCCAATGCATGCCCAAGGATGCTTCAGAAATCCCATCGCGTCACCCCACGGAAGTGTGGTGCTTCAGAAATTCCCTTCATACCCCCAGCCGTTCTCTTGCTCACCACACGTCCGTGTTGATAAAACAATCGACACCCAAAACACACACCAAACAGGCACCCAACGACCCCACACAGCTCCAGACAGCCTTTCAAGAGGCGTTTCTTTTTCAAAAGAAGTCAGACGACCCATCCACTCGCGACATGGTTTCGGGTCCTGTGGCTTGGGTTGGAACATCTGTAAGTACTCGGTGAAGGCTCGCCAGATCTCGGGGCCCATCATGCGGAAGTGGACGGCCAGGAAGACCGCGACCTGCGAGGTCGGGAAGCCTCTCTCAACATGCAACACCACAGAAATCAGTGTGGGACCGAGGAGAACCCTAGCCACATGGAACAAGGCTCTACCCCCAGACCCCCAGGTGGTTAAACGAGAACCCTTCGCGACGCATTCGGGAAAAAAGGCACCCAAGGATGTTTTCGGAAATCCCGGGTGATTCCATCCTCTGCATCTGCATCACCTGAGCCCTGCTGAGCCCTGCTGAGCCCTGCTGAACCCTGGGCCGAGCCACACACGCGGCGGCCACCGGCCCTGAGGTCGGCTCCATGGCAGCGTCGAGCGTCTCGGGCGCCGGGCGCCGTTCTTCCAAGTAACCCAGACTGAGATTCCAGGGGGTCACCTATAGGACCTAGGATCACCTAGAACTCCTATAGGAACCCTGAATGTCACCTTGAAGCTGGCCAAGGGTGGTTGGTAGAACCCCAGCAATCCAGGCGTTTTCCGTGCAATAAGCCTCCTCTCTGAGTGGTGCTGGCGGGTGAGGCTCTGAGGACCATGGAGTTCGTTTCCCGAGCCGAGATGGCGAGGGAGTCTTCAACCTTCCCACAGGCTTCTCACTCTTCAATCGCCGGCCAAGCCCACCAATCCAAGCTACGAAGCAAGCTGCTTCGGGAAGTGTGTTTATAAGTTTATATGTTTAATCGTGGGACCAATCGGCAATGAGTCTAAGGGGTCCCCCATGTACTCGTACCCGCCCAAATTTGAATTCCATGGCTTTGCTCTCCAAGTGAGGGAAAACCGATCCCTGTGGGACTGCCCCGACTCCCAACCTGACTGCCCCAACCTTACCAACTGGGTGGGCTTCCGCTCCAATTTCTAGGGCTCCCACCTTGGTGACCCACTCCAAAAGCCCCATCCACATGTCACCTTGGGAGTACTCGAAGACCTGGGCAGCCGGGTGCCTCGGCACCCCCGCACCCCCGTCGCCTCAAAGGCGCTCAAAGAGTCCTGAACGAGCCCCAGCCAACCACGGAAAGGCGAAGTGTCGGAAGTCCTCTAAAACGACCCCCCTTCCTCTTAAGTGCCTGTGCCAAGTGCCTGCGCCTGTCCCACCAAAGGCACAGTCACTTGAAACAGGCAGAACTAGAGGTGGAATGGTGTTTCGTGTCAGGATATATCGATTTCTTTGATCGTGGATGCGGGTCCAGGGAAGGTGTCTTCTTTGGAAATGCATGAGAATTGCTTTGGGAGGCCTGCTCGCCATCTGCACCCTCCGTCCTGATCTGGTGCTGGCCACTCTTGCACAGCGAGCACTGACGCCACCCCCTGCACATCACGCATTAGAGGAAGGTGGCACCCAATAGATTTGTCTAAGTCTCCAGGCGTGGATCCCCTCCTAGATTCCTACATCTCCATGTGCAGGGGAAAAATGGGAGAAACAGCTGCTCCTCCTTCAGGGTGTTCGATCCAAGCAATCTCAGACCTGGGCGTCCGGCCGGAGGTTTTCTGCGCGATCTGGGCCCATCTAACCATGCACCACACCCGCAAGCTCGTGCGTGTCGGCCGATACACAGAGACGTACCAAGCAGAGGCTTCCAAACTCTGGGGCATGCAGGCGTTCAATGTCTAAGCCGGAGAACCATTGTCTGTGAGTTTCTCTACGTGAGGTCGTGGACTTCTTCCCACTGGCACAGCAATACATGTTCTGCAACAGGGGTGTGAAGGGTGGATCCCTCCTGTTGCACACTGCCCTGCTGGGCCCACGAAACCTTGACCCTGCCAGCCGACTCGTGTGTCACCTGTTAACTTTTTGCAGCAAAAAGATCACATCTGTCCTTGTCTCTCACGCACGCAGCTCTCGCAGATGAGAGAGGTTGCGGAAACGCGACCAATTTGAGCAACAAAAGGCTTGTTTAGCTGGAGTTACCTTTGCTAGAAGTGAAGTCTTGCAAATGGTTCCAACGTTCCTTGGCGAAACTTCAGTGAACCCACCTGGCACTTCTAAACAACGCAATCCTCTCCACACTCTTCCTGCACAGGACCTGCTAGCAGCCCTGGTAGCTGCAGCTTTGGCCCCAAAGGCGCTTGATTTGAAGAATGGAGTCGTGATTCGTGTCGACTCTTTTCACTGATAAATGCATGGTTTAATCATGGCTGGATAGAGACAAAGCCACTGAGTTTATAGGTATGTATGGGTGCGTGTAAATATCTATATATATATATATATATGCATGTACAGTACATCATCATGCCCATGATGCAACATGGGGTCTCTCATCTATCAACCACATCGAGCCTTCAAACAAGGAAGAATGGGTTCTCATAACTAGCAAAAGAAGGACTGACTCAACTCTTCAGCCTAGGCTGATGATGGCTCGTGCGGGTCGGATTCCCAAAGTACCCCAAAATCGTCATGAGGCACAACCCAAGAACCATCAATGGTGTGCATGCGACGATCATGTACATCCGTGTGGCACATGCTTAGACTCCATCCCTCCTTGCGTCATGTGACAGCCACCACGCTTCGCTAAGCGGAGGTCCCAAAAGTTCTTGGAGCAACCATCACATTGGCCAAAGGCCTCTGACCAAGCAAACAGCTGAGCCATATGAAGCATCCATGTTATCAGAAAGGAAGCAAAGAGAAGAAGGTACATACGTTTAGGGCAAAGGAAGATTGTCGGCCACTCCCCCAGTCTTCTGCAAGGCTTCCCCCCATCGAGGTCCATTTTTTCGCCTAGTTTGCGCACAGCTGTAAGATTCTCTCCGTGATATCATTTCCCTTGGACGATTGTCCTACCTTTTGTGGCTATCAACTGTGATGCCGCAAGGCCATTCTAATGACTTGCCCTACCTGGGTTGGCAATAGGTGTGTGCATGAGCCATTTTGTGCCGCTCTCATCTCGCAACGGCTCCAGGACCCAGCATGATGGCATGCGGCGCATGCTACGCAGCCAACTCTCAAACGATGGCAGCATGGGAGGCAGAACCCGAAGGAGCCGGTGTCTCGGAGCAAGTACAGCGGCCCCCGTAGTAGCCCATGGTCTGGAACTTGCAGTCAAAGGTCTTGTTCATGAGCAGGCCTGCCAAGTTTATAGACGGCATTTGGCGAGAACATCTGCCCGAGCAGTTTGGTGTTTTTTGCCCATGCGGGCGGCTTCCTGATCTATTTGGGAAGTAGGACTATCAAATGCACCAAGCGATGCCAAATGAGCGGGCTTCTACCGACACTTCGCCCGCGTGATGGGTCAGGAGTGATGCGGGACATGTTTCTATCACCAGGTGAATAGCATATCCACTGCATGGCCAAAGCCACCTTTTTCAGCTCCAACCACTTAACTCGCCTGAAAGCACTTTGGCTCTGCAACACTGCGAGATGCTAAGAATCTTTGGCCCTTGTCCCAACGAGCTTCCATAGCACCTACCTAGACCTAGAAAACCTGAAAAGCCACGCAGGCTTTCAGCTGCCGGGCGCGCGCCCGGCATCGGCACTCACACTCGGTCTGATCGATCCCATCGCGGCACCTGACCACCTGGCGGTCTGAGGAGTGGCTCTCTTAGATTCCGAGGGTCAAAGTGTCAAGGCCTCCTATCATGTATAGACTAATATCATAGTTGGTCCGCACGAACTTGTGGATCCATCGGGAGTCATGATGCGGTTCCGACTCCAATCTTCCAACAGTATTTTAAAAAAAAAAAAAATATATATATATATATAGTATATACCAATACATACTTAATTAATCTTAATTATATATATCACTGCTGTTTTTGGAGCTCTCTTTTCGGAGCGTTCTTCGCGTTTCTGTTTTTTCGGCCTCCAGGCGCTGCCTCCTTCGCCTTCAACAGCAGTTCGCCTTCAGTCTTCGAGCTGCCGAAGCCAAGCCCATGAGCACGCTCAGGAGCGTCAGCACATCGTAGAGTCGCAGGTCCTTCGTACCTCGGAAGTCTTACATCTAATACGTCTAATGAGTCGCAGATCCTACGTCCTTGAAGTCCTCAGTACGTAGGATGTGTGCGAATTTTGAGGGCCGGCGATCGACAAGACTTGGGTGGTGCCATGTTTAAGAGGGAGAGACAGACCGAGAGACCCGTCTCTGCTCCGTTTTCCGAACCCAGGGTCTCATTTGGAGGCCTCCCTAGTCTAATACACACGCATGTCTGTCCTATGCAAGCTTCAATTAATCTACGAGTAACTCAACCGTCGATCAGGGAATTTGCATTGGATGCCGATTGGCGCAAAAGGCGAAGTTGATGGGGAAACCCTACCGGAATGAGCGGAGCTCCGCTCTCCGCTTTTCAATGACCATCCATGATCACTCCATCTGGCATGCCAACACTTAGCTTCAACTTGAAGATGTCCACGCATACTCAGAAGAACATGCCCTAGATATCGAAGTTAACCATGGCAAAAGCATAAACTGCTCGGTTAGCAACTCCAGGATGCCACCAAGAGCTTCTCGCAAGGGGTCCTCCTGCCAGTGGATGCCCAAACCTTTCGTCTCCTTCATGGCATCGAACCAGAACGATCCTAAGCCAAAGTTGAAGATCCATAAGGCCGTGTCCTGCGACCCACAAGGGGCTGTCGGGCTGTCCACCAGGGACCGGTTTCTTCGAAGGCTCGAACCATCCATTCATCTTGCCCCCCCCACGAAAGGCCAAACACAGCCGGTGAAAACAAGTCCCCAACTCATCCCTTCTTCCTGGGGTCAGAGCGTCCAAAGCATGTGAAACCCAAGTGTCTATATGGACCGTTCCACTTATTCATCGTCTTACTGTACTTGCGTCTGAGCTGTCCAACTCGGTCCTGCTTCACCTCGGCTTTGAGGCCAAAGCGATGTGGAAAGTTCACCAGTTCCTTGTTCTGGGGCAAGTCCACTGCGTCCACCAAGGCAACGCTCTTGCCATTCCAATCCAGTTCCTTGCCACGCTCCGTGAAGGCCACAATGTCAGGCATGCCTGCCGGAGGATCCGAATACCAACGACCTGAGCCAAAGACCTTCTGCATGAGCTGAAACTGCTTGGGCTCCTTCTGAAAGACCGTGTCATTCCTGCGCTTGGTGTAGGGATGCAAGAAGCTGCTCAAGTTCGCCACCGACCTCGGTGGGGCCAAGTACTCGTCCAGGTCGGCATAGCCCACCCAGAAGCTGCAGTGCCCTGCGGCACATTCGGCCAACCAATCAGCCTTCCATGTCCCCAAGCGGTCCTGCGTGGGCCGATTGCCTCGCAGCTCGGCGATGCCGTGAGCCACATACTTCTGCAAGGCGAGCTCCACACTTGAGTCGTTCAACACATTGAGAAAGGCAAAGTGATCCACACCCAAAGCTGTATGAAAGCTGATCCAGTCATCCAACAACTTTTCTTGCCCAGACGTCACTAAGGCCATGAAGGTCAAGAAATACCTGCGGCAGTGCAGCTGTCCAGCGCCATAGTAGCCCAAGACGCAATGCCTTGATGGATGATACCGAGGAACACGTTCATCCAGGCTCGTGTTTCTCATCCGTTGCAGCATGGAGGCATAACGACTCGCAGAGGTGTCATGAACTCCACTGCCCGTTTGGTTTCGAGCCATGTAATTCTGCACTACCAGCTCGGTCTTATTGTCGCTGTGCCGCTTCGGCCCTTGGAATTCCCCGGTCTGGAAGTATTGCTTCCAGCCAGCGCCACTCTGCAAGCGCATGAAGGACTCGTAGCTCTTGGTCTTGTAGTGATAGACAATGGGCAGATCTGCCAGCAACATGTTGGAGACCAGTTGAAACACGGTGCAAGTGCCATCAGTGCAGGTCAGTCGCCACCAAAGCAAATAGAGCAAAAGAATCAAGGCAGCGTAACCCAAAACGCAACGTCGGCTAAGGGTGGGCAGTCTCAGTCTTGAAATGTCTTGAACCAATGCCATCTTCAAAGACATCAGATTGATGATGAGTTATGATGTGCTGATGTGCTGATGCAAGAAATGCTGGATTGGCCATGGATTGGGAAACACATGGACCTCGTCTTCGTTGTCAGGCCAGAGCCCGGCCCAGTCGAAGAATGAAACCGAAGCATGGTCGGCTGAACGGTTTTTTCAAGCGAACCTCTTGTACAGCATCACGTGGGAAAATGGTGAGAAGCAACCAGCGACGCTTGCTACGCTTGTAGCGTGTTTCCATCTGTTCCTCTTCTAGTGGACAATCGGTGGGGTGTCTGTTCCCCTATCTCACCAATCGCACGTCCAAAACACACGACCCACGGGGCCAGTGCGTCGGCAGCGAAGCGTCGGCACATGGAGCCTGCCACCGCATGGTAGGTGAAGCAAAGACTATCGGGCGTCTGCACCTCGGTGAGGGTTACACATCCGTGGCAAAACTCACAAGACATGCACCTCTGGAAGCGGTTGGATCCAGGGAGGGAAGTGCTCGAAAAACCCACCTTACCTGCCCCCCCATGTTGGACCTATGGCTTTCTCGTCTGGGTCGACCTATTTCCTGGTCGTTGCAGCCACCTCGTCGCAAGAAGCCAGCGGGGAAGCAACCCAGGAATTCACGGGTCCGAGTCACGCAAAAGACCAGGTTTTCCTACAGCTTCTCTATTTCGAATTGTTGAGTTAGTTTCCCACGTCTAAGACCCAGAAGCTAACCACATGGAAAGGGGTTGATGGCCATTCTTAGTAAGGGCGAATTGGGACCGTCCTTGAACTGTCGGGTGCGCCAGAAAAATTATCCCGTCCTCACCACGAGCAAGCAACAGCAATCCAAGAGAACTACAAGCCACCCAATTCCCTTCAAGACTGTTCTCTTGGGTAGGCCTTGCAGCCCTTGCACCGGGATCACACGCAGCGCCCTCCCTTTTGGGCAACATGCTCAACAGATGCCACGCACCTGCTTGTCCGTCTCAATGTTGGTGGCAATTGCTACCGAGACGTTCAGCGCAGGGAAGAAGCCAACGATGCTTTGGTACCCTCAGACCCCCATGCAGCAGTCAGATGTGAATTCACCAGGGTGACGGTGAGTGGGACCTTCGCCCCCCTGGATGTGACATGCTCTCCATGGAATCACGGCACCTGGGCACCTTGGAATCACCCATGGAACATGCTGAACCCATGGAAGCCATCGCAAGGGCAGAACATAGGAATGCCAAATTAATGCACTGAACCACAGTCTGGATAACTTGTGGCTACACTCCTCCCGCCTTTGGCCCAAACACTGCCCAATGGCTGCGTTACGCTCCTTTGTAGCTCATGGGAGCCGTCAAGTCCCCCGCACCACCTTGAGGGATCGACCACCCGAGAGGGATCGACCACCCTTAGGGGTCCAGAAAGGCGCCAGCCTCTCCGACCTCTCCGAAGGGTCGAGCAGCGGAACAAGCGTCGAGACGGCCCCCAACGAAGCATCCGTGCACGACTTAGAATACGGGGCACCTGTTCAGCACCTTTGAAGAAATTCCATGTAAGTGATCTCTCTCTCTCTCTCGCTCTCGCTCTCGCTCTCGCTCTCGCTCTCGCGCTCTCTCACTCTCTCTCTCTCTCTCCATTGATCATATCCATGACTCCATGAACTCCATGACCTGGAAACAACACATCAATCGACGAGAGTGCTTGCTGAGCATCCGTAGGTGGCTCCCAGATGGCCATAGCCCTGGCCTGCCAGACTCACATCTGCCCATTGCTTCGCATCTCGTCCAAACACTCAACCCTTGTTTCGGAACTCTATTAAAAGAATGTAGACTCTTGATTCATAAACCCTCCATATGAAGAGGATTGTCCACTTCAAATTGGGGGTTATCTTTTTCAAGAGTCTACCTTAGAGGGAGGTGAACACTACCCTAAAGTCCTCCAGAACTAAGAAGTCCTTTCTTCAAAGACCTCGAAACACCTCCGGCAGTGACACATCCCCAAAAAAGACATCATGAACTTCCCTCAATGATCCACCTGTGACCATTCCACGAATGCACACGTGTCCGGTGTGGCCTAAAGGCCCTCGCACGCCACCAGAGAAGAGGCCCACCTGGACTGAGGAACCACTTGGTGGACCGAAGGCGCTTGTCTATCTGAAGTCTATCTATTGCATGGTCACGTTTTGTTTTATAACTCCATTCCGAGCTCATCCACTGCAGCTGCAACCTGTATACATAGCTGGACCTAGCTCTGGCTGCCTCTAACTGCGGCCTCCCCATCTTGTGATACCCATCCGGAACGGGCCATTCTGGTGGCACTCCTCACGTGGCACTGTTCACTCACATCCACCCAGCCACATTGAAGGCGCCCATACCGTAGATGTGCATCGCCGAGGGGATCATCTGCTTCACCAACGCCTCGCCGATGCGTGCTAGCGGACATGCAACGATGTGGCCGAAGTCTGGCCCTCGACATCCACGTGGAATCTGCACAACGAGCACCCCCAAAACCTCCACAGCCGTTACCCCGAACCCCCCATCTATGCCATCCGCAAACGATTCCAGACAAGGGCCTCCTCCAATCCCCCTTCGTCCGTCTGACCTTGCCACCTCCCAACCCCCCACCTCTGGTGCCAGAGAGTGCTCCTTCCAAATCTCCCAGCTGAGATCTGCGATGTGCGCCGCGGTGGCCACCACGTTGCTGGCGGTCCACCCGGCAAACACGCCCTCCACCTTCGAAAGCCGAAACGGCGCGGCGCGGCGCGGTGCAGATCGAAGGAGTTGCTCTTATAGATATCAATGTGTTCAGCCGATATGAGTGGTACGACTGAGAATACGAGGTGTTCATTCGAGCTTCAACTGCGACAGCTGTTTGAACCATTCCAGCCGCCGGCCTCCCAGTTGTTGTGGTTGCTGAGGTTACCTAAGTTCACCGAGATCTGTAAACAAAACGCCTTTCTCCAGCCTCATGTCAGCTACTTCTGTCAACCTCTTTCTGCGAAATCCACTTCTGTCAAACCGCCTTGACATCCAGCACGGGGCAAATAAGTGGTTCCGAGGGTCAGTCCCGTTGCACAAACATTTGGGCAAGCATCAAAGGAGGGAGACCTCCCGAGAAATTGACCCAAAACCCATGTGTTTGGGGGGCCTCAGTGAATCAACTACACACCCATGTTTCATTCAGCCCTCAGTGAATCTCTTCAAAACGCCACATGCCCAGTGGCCAGGCGCCCGGTTGTAGGAAGTGCGATCATAGCCGGGGACACTCCCGGCGTCCTGCCGAGATCTCGGGTGATCCAAAGCAGGAGGCACCGTTTTCGGTCAAAAGCACGAACGAGCCGGAGACGGTGGGTGTGTGTATATCTATCTATCTATCTATCTATTCATCTATCGGTTTATCTATCTATCTATCTATCGATCGATCTATCTATCTATCGATCGATCTATCTATCTATCTATCGGTTTATCTATCTATCTATCTATCTCTAGATCGATCGATCGATCTATCTATCTATCGGTTTATCTATCTATCTATCTATCTATCGATCGATCTATCTATCTATCGATCGATCTATCTATCTATCTATCGGTTTATCTATCTATCTATCTATCTATCTATCTATCTCTAGATCGATCGATCGATCTATCTATCTATCGGTTTATCTATCTATCGATCGATCGATCTATCTATCTATCTACAGATCGATCGATCGATCTACCTATCTATCGGTTTATCTATCTATCTATCTATCTATCTAT